CAAATGAATGAAATGAAGCGAGAAGTGTAGAGAAAAAAGAGTAAAAAGAAATGAACAAAGCCTCCAAGAAATATGGGATTATGTGAAAAGACCAAATCTACATCTGATTGGTGTGCCTGAAAGTGACGGGGAAAATGGAACCAAGTTGGAAAACACTCTGCAGGATATCATCCAGGAGAACTTCCCCAACCTAGTAAGGCAGGCCAACATTCAAATTCAGGAAATACAGAGAACGCCACAAAGATACTCCTCGAGAAGAGCAACTCCAAGACACATAATTGTCAGATTCACCAAAGTTGAAATGAAGGAAAAAATGTTAAGGGCAGCCAGAGAGAAAGGTAGGGTTACCCAAAAAGGGAAGCCCATCAGACTAACAGCAGATCTCTCGGCAGAAACCCTCCAAGCCAGAAGAGAGTGGGGGCCAATAGTCAACATTCTTAAAGAAAAGAATTTTCAACCCAGAATTTCATATCCAGCCAAACTAAGCTTCATAAATGAAGGAGAAATAAAATCCTTTACAGCCAAGGATATGCTTAGAGATTTTGTCACCACCAGGCCTGCCCTACAAGAGATCCTGAAGGAAGCACTAAACATGGAAAGGAAGAACTGGTACCAGCCATTGCAAAAACACGCCAAAATGTAAAGACCACCGATGCTAGGAAGAAACTGCATCAACTAACGAGCAAAAGAACGAGCTAATATCATGATGACAGCATCAAGTTCACACATAACAATATTAACCTTAAATGTAAATAGACTAAATAGTCCAATTAAAAGACACAGACTGGCAAATTGGATAAAGAGTCAAGACCCATAGCTTGCTGTATTCAGGAGACCCATCTAACATGCAGAGACACACATAGGCTCAAAATAAAGGGATGGAAGAAGATCTACCAAGCAAATGGAAAACAAAAAAAAAAAAGCAGGGGTTGCAATCCCAGTCTCTGATAAAACAGACTTTAAACCATCAAAGATCAAAAGAGACAAAGAAGGCCATTACATAATGGTAAAGGGATCAATTCATCAGGAAGAGCTAACTGTCTGAAATATATATGCACCCAATACAGGAGCACCCAGATTCATAAAGCAAGTCCTTACAGACTTACAAAGAGACTTAGACTCCCATACAATAATAATGGGAGACTTTAACACCCCACTGTCAACATTAGACAGATCAACAAGACAGAAAGTTAACAAGGATATCCAGGAATTGAACTCAACTCTGCACCAGGCAGATGACCTAATAGACATCTACAGAACTTTCCACCCCAAATCAACAGAATATACATTCTTCTCAGCACCACGTCGCACTTATTCCAAAATTGACCACATAGTTGGAGGTAAAGCACTCCTCAGCAAATGTAAAGAACAGAATTTATAACAAACTCTCTCTCAGACCACAGTGCAATCAAACTAGAACTCAGGACTAAGAAACTCAATCAAAACCGCTCAACTACATGGAAACTGAACAACCTGCTCCTGAATGACTACTGGGTACATGACGAAATGAAGGCAGAAATAAAGATGTTCTTTGAAACCAATGAGAACAAAGATACAACATACCAGAATCTCTGGGACACATTTAAAGCAGTGTGTAGAGGGAAATTTATAGCATTAAATGCCCACAAGAGAAAGCAGGAAAGATCTAAAATTGACACCCTAACATCACAATTAAAAGAACTAGAGAAGCAAGAGCAAACACATTCAAAAGCTAGCAGAAGGCAAGAAATAACTAAGATCAGAGCAGAACTGAAGAAGATAGAGACACAAAAAACCCTCCAAAAAATCAGTGAATCCAGGAGCTGGTTTTTTGAAAATATCAACAAAATTTATAGACTGCTAGCAAGACTAATAAAGAAGAAAAGAGAGAAGAATCAAATAGACACAATAAAAAATGATAAAGGGGATATCACCACCGACCCCACAGAAATACAAACTACCATCAGAGAATACTATACACACCTCTATGCAAATAAACTAGAAAACCTAGAAGAAATGGGTAATTTCCTGGACACTTACACTATCCCAAGACTAAACCAGGAAGAAGTTGAATCCCTGAATAGACCAATAACAGGCTTTGAAACTGAGGCAATAATTAATAGCCTACCAAACAAAAAAGGTCCAGGACTAGATGAATTCACAGGAAAATTCTACCAGAGGTACAAGGAGGAGCTGGTACCATTCCTTCTGAAACTATTCCAGTCAATAGAAAAAGAGGGAATCCTCCTTAACTCATTGCATGAGGCCAACATCATCCTGATACCAAAGCCTGGCAGGGACACAACAAAAAAAAGAGAATTTTAGACCAATATCCCTGATGAACATCGATGCAAAAATCCTCAATAAAATACTGGCAAAGCGAATCCAGCAGCACTTCAAAAAGCTTCTCCACCACGATCAAGTGGGCTTCATCCCTGGGATGCAAGGCTGGTTCAATATACGCCAATCAATAAACATAATCCAGCATATAAACAGAACCAAAGACAAAAACCACATGAGTATCTCAATAGATGCAGAAAAGGCCTTTGACAAAATTCAACAGCCCTTCATGCTAAAAACTGTCAATAAACTAGGTATTGATGGGACATATCTCAAAATAATAAGAGCTATTTATGACAAACCCACAGCCAATATCATACTGAATGGGCAAAAACTGGAAGCATTCCCTTTGAAAACTGGCACAAGACAGGGATGCCCTCTCTCACCACTCCTATTCAACATAGTGTTGGAAGTGCTGGCCAGGGCAATCAGGCAAGAGAAAGAAATAAAGGGTATTCAGTTAGGAAAAGAGGAAGTCCCTGTTTGCAGATGACATGATTGTATATTTAGAAAACCCCATCGTCTCAGCTGAAAATCTCCTTAAGCTGATAAGCAACTTCAGCAAAGTCTCAGGATACAAAATCAATGTGTAAAAATCACAAGCTTTCCTATACACCAATAACAGACAAACAGAGAGCCAAATCATGAGTGAACTCTCCTTCAAAATTGCTTCAAAGAGAATAAAATACCTAGGAATCCAACTTACAAGGGATGTGAAGGACCTCTTCAAGGAGAACTACAAACCACTACTCAACGAAATGAAAGAGGACACAAACAAATGGAAGAACATTCCATGCTCATGGATAGGAAGAATCAGTATTGTGAAAATGGCCATACTGCCCAAGGTAATTTATAGATTCAATGCCATCCCCATCAAGCTACCAATGACTTTCTTCACAGAATTGGAAAAAACTACTTTAAAGTGCATATGGAACCAAAAAAGAACCCACATTGCCAAGACAATTGTAAGCCAAAAGAACAAAGCTGGAGGCATCACGCTACCTGAATTCAAACTATACTACAAGGCTACAGTAACCAAAACAGCATGGTACTGGTACCAAAACACACATATAGACCAATGGAACAGAATAGAGCCCCCGGAAATAATACCACACATCTACAGCCATCTGATCTTTGACAAACCTGACAAAAACAAGAAATGGGGAAAGTATTCCCTACTTAATAAATGGTGCTGGGAAAATTGGCTAGCCATAAGGAGAAAGCTGAAACTGGATCCTTTCCTTACTCCTTATACAAAAATTAATTCAAGATGGATAAGAGACTTAAACGTTAGACCTAAAACCATAAAAACCCTAGAAGAAAACCTAGGTAATACTATTCAGGACATAGGCATGGGCAAAGACTTCATGTCTAAAACACTAAAAGCAATGGCAGCAAAAGTCAAAATTGACAAATGGGATCTCATTAAACTAAAGAGCTTCTGCACAGCAAAAGAAACTACCATCAGAGTTAACAGGTAACCTACAGAATGGGAGAAAATTTTTGCAATCTACTCATCTGACAAAGGGCTAATATCTAGAACCTACAAAGAACTCAAATTTACAAGAAAAAAAAAAAACAACCCTGTCAAAAAGTGGGCAAAGGATATGAACAGACACTTCTCAAAGGAAGACATTCATACAGCCAACAGACACATGAAAAAATGCTCATCATCACTTGCCATCAGAGAAATGCAAATCAAAACCACAATGAGATACCATCTCACACCAGTTAGAATGTCAATCATTAAAAAATCAGGAAACAACAGGTGCTGGAGAGGATGTGGAGAAATAGGAACACTTTTACACTGTTGGTAGGACTGTAAACTAGTTCAACCATTGTGGAAAACAGTGTGGCGATTCCTCAAGGATCTAGAACTAGAAATACCATTTGACCCAGCCATCCCATTACTGGGGATATACCCAAAGGATTATAAATCATGCTGCTATAAAGACACATGCACACGTATCTTTATTGCAGCACTATTCACAATAGCAAAGGCTTGGAATCAACCCAAATGTCCATCAGTGACAGACTGGATTAAGAAAATGTGGCACATATACATCATGGAATACTATGCAGCCATAAAAAAGTATGAGTTCGTGTCCTTTGTAGGGACATGGATGCAGCTGGAAACCATCATTCTTAGCAAACTGTCACAAGAACAGAAAACCAAACACTGCATGTTCTCACTCATAGGTGGGAATTGAACAATGAGATCACTTGGACACAGGAAGGGGAACATCACACACCAGGGCCTATTGTGGGGAGGGGGTGGGGGGAGGGATAGCATTAGGAGATATACCTAATGTAAATGACCAGTTAATGGGTGCAACACACCAACATGGCACATGTATACATATGTAACAAACCTGCACATTGTGCACATGTACCCTAGAACTTAAAGTATAATAATGAAAAAAAAAATTGGCAGATGTTCAAGGTGTATAATGTAATGATTTTATATAGCTGTGTAATGATTACCGTAATCAAATTAACACATCCATCACCACCCTTGCTGTGCATTAGATACCTAGAACATGTCTAATTTATAACTAAAAGTTTATACCCTTTGACCAATATCTCCCCATTTCCCCTAGCCCTTAGACCCTGATAACCACCATTCTACTTTCTGCTTCTATTGAGTTTCACTTTTTTAGATTCAAAGGAACAGTTCTTACCAAGTGGTATACATCATCTAAACAGGTAAATTCATTAAAGCTAATATTTAGTTTTCGAAGTCCTGTTAACTTGGAGAGATCTCTCAATTTACTCAAGCTGTTTCCATGTAGATTCAGACTCTGAAGTAAAATAAAATATACATTAAAAAATAATACAGGTTACGTTCTACATCAAACTGAAGTGTGGATATCTAAAATGTTTAGAACAATTATTTGAGTCAGTATACTACAAAATATATGTTATTTTAAATAACATTAAGAAACTGTCAAAAAGGAAAAAATCTATCATGTAAAAAGATAGTTTGTAATAGTATCACTAGACGTGGTTCTTGATTAATATGATTTCTCACTTGGTCTAAGTTTATCAGCAATTGGCATGAAATTCTTTTTAGAAAACAAATATATGTGTTAAGATATTTATTAGGGTAGATCTATTTCTCAGGCTAACCAGTGAACAATGGAGACCATAAAAATTTGGGGTATCAGGTAGGATACCTTATGGAAGAGAGATGGCAGGAAAATGTATGAGGGCACCAAACCAAAGAAGAAAGGCTGAGGCTATATGGTTTTCTGTCTTTATACCATTATGAGTGATATCACGTGAAGACTGTATTCATGTATAGCTCACAGAATAAACAAGGGTACAAGAAAATGTATTAATGCAACTGACTACAGTATCGAGTATCTATCTCCCAGCTATCTTCATTCACCACCACCATTATGCCTTATATTGTGGACATAACAAAATTCCTAGAAGGGAGAAACAATTAAATTTCTAATAGCTGTCAAAATTAGCTAAAATTGTTAAAGGCCAATTTATGCAGACTAGTGATTTTACAAGTTACATATGGGTATCATCCATGATATATTCTACAGAACCCTTACATTTAACCTGTCCACAACTGAATTTATCTTCCCTATGTGTCTGATACAGAGCTTCACTATCTAACATACTGCTGATCACCCCATTTCCCTCTTTTCTTTATACATTTGACTGTAGAGCTGTTTCTCAAACGGGCCACACCATTACATCACCACTATCAGTGCCTTAGCAGACTTAGGCAGTGGTAGTGGTGATATAATGGTGCAGCTGGTTTTCTGGTTATCCAGAGAAGAAATGAATGGATTTTTCTTTTGGATAGTGCAATAGTTTTCTACTGAATTTCTATACCACCAGTCTGATTTCAGTTAATTCCATTCATAAGCTATCAAAGTTAGGGTCTTTAAAGAGAGTCTGTTCCTTAAACAGAAGAATCTAAACTTTAAAATTTGGTTTCCAAAATCCATCCTAATTTGGCTACAATCTCATACTCTTCCAGCCCTGGCTTCAAGCGTCTTTCTTGAATTCCAACCTACATCTTTACCCTCCACCACTGTAACACTATATTCTTGGCACACTAAATTTTTCAGTGTTCCCTGAAGACATCTGGATCTTTCAAAACCATGTTTCTACAGGTAAGAATATTTTATCTGTCTGGAAGATGTAAACAACTAAATTTCTCATGTCCTTCAGAAATCCACTCAAAGCTCACCTCTTTCTATAAATCTCTCCCAGTAACCCTGAGCTTCCCACATGTGTTCACATATCTATTTCCTCCACTAAATTGATGTTTTTGATGCAGGTAAACTAATTTCTTACTAAAATAGTAAATCTAGATATTATAGTGCAGAAATAACAATTTCTCAGTACTGTCAGCCAGAAGATTGCTCTTATTATACTGCACATTTACAGACACAGGACAGGGCCTCTGTTGCATAACTCTAGAGGCATCCTACTCCCTTTATCTTGTATTGAGTTCTATTCAGTTATATAATGAATGGCACTCAAAGGGTACACTAAAGAGAATATAATGTGAATTTTGCCTTCTGGAGTTGTGCAATATTGCAATAGTAGAGTACAGAGAGTCTGGTTGGAAGGCTGGGGTAATAGTCTAGGTCAGAAATTGTAGTAGTTTGGATAGAGTGGTAGCAGCAGATCTGAAATGAACACATCTAAAAGTCAGACATGGAAGTAGGCCTAATATCTCAATAGAATTGTCTCAGCATAAAGTAAGTCACTTTAATAAGTAACCTGATTTCTGTTGATTAATTTTGTAAAGATCCCATATTCTATGTTGATTAATTCTAGAAGCTTATTAAAAACTTATCTGCCTTTATCTTATTAAAGAGAGCTGACTGGTTATTCAGGAATAAAATCCCTTGCTAATTGGAAGGCCACCTCAAATGGCTATTGAGCACTTGAAATGTGACTAGTCTTAATGTGCTCAGAGTGTAAATATACTTCAGAATTAAGAGTTAGGATGAAATTACCTCATTAATGAATATTCATACTGGTTCCATGTCAAAATGCTAATATTTTAGATATGCAAGTGCTATAGTTTGAATGTGTCCCCCAAAAGTTCATGTGTTGGAAACTTAATCCTTCTGCCTTCATGAATGGATCAATGTCACTTTCAGAGGAGTGGGTCTATTATCTTGGGAGTAAATTTGTTATAAAACCAGCTCTATCTGGATCTGTTGCTCTTGCCTTATTGCCATGTGATGCCCACTGCCATTTTATGACACTGCAAGAGGCCCTCACGAGATGCAGGCACCATGCTCTTGGATGTCCTAGCCTCCAGAACGATGAGCTAAAAAAACTTATTTTCTTTATAAATTACTCACTCTGTGGTATTTTGTTTTAGAAATAGAAAACAAACTAAGACATTTCAGTTAAATAAAATGTATTATTAAAATTAATTTTACTTTTTAAAAATACTTTTAAAAACAGCCACTAGAGAAGTAAAAATTACATACGCGGTTCACATTATATTACTACTAGAGAGCACTGTTTTAATCCATGTAGAAAAAGAGAAATGGGCACTTTAGGTAGCATTGTACCTGGCATCATCAGACAGGCAGTTTAGTATCTTTTGACTTCACATGCTAGATTCTGATTCCAAATTCAAGATTTCTGTTTCAAAGCTGTATTCCTCACAATACTCACCACAATATGACTGTAAACGCTAGTTTTTGCAAGGGAAAGTATTGTTTTATCATCCAAACTAATCAGTTTTGGTCGGGCCTTGATTCTGGGCTCCATTTTTATAACTTCATCATCAAATTTCAAATCCTTGGAAAATACTGATCCTTCTGGGTTTTTTTTGCTTTCTTCTAGAATAACATTGTTGAATACAGAAAATAAAGAGGGTGACTTGACCTAAAAAATGTATTAAAAATATTGCAAAATCAGTTGCTGTATTTATCATTTTGAAAAACAAACAGGCTATGTAGAAAAGATGAGTTGACATTTTTAGTTATACAGTCATATCTGTGATTATCAGAATCACATTAGGACATCTATGAGAACAGATTAAAATTGTAGGCTACGCATGGTGTATCTATTCCCACCCACTGAAAATTTCTTAAAACTGGCAAAAGATAATTTTAAAATATTTCATAACAGTGAAGAGGGTACCTACAAAGGTCTAGAAATTGTGACACATAAATCAGAAAGGACTGAATTGACAGGTAAATAGGATCAGAAATGTAACCTCTGGCTAAAGAATATGCAGGAGATAAACACTTTTAAAATCAGATCCAGAGAAACTTGAACAAAGAGCAATTAGTTACCTTAATTATCAGGTAATTCAGTAATTATGGTAAGAATTGTGGATGAATGAGCAAGAGCCACATAAACAAACAGAACTGGTTCTAGAAGAAACGAAAATACTTCATCAGAGAATTTTTAAAAATCTAGGACAATAAAGTATCTGTGATAAAAGAATAAGCTGCTATGGAAAAGAAAAGGACATACACTTCGAAGCTAAAATAAAAACAATTATTGAAATAAAAATTTAGTAAATACCCTGAGAAACAAGTGGATATGGTAGCAGATCAAATTAGCAATGTTGAAGCTAAGATTGAGAAAATATTTCAAAACAAATAATTTTACAATAGAGTATAAAATAGAAGAGAAAAAATTAAAAGGCATGAAGGATCAATTTGGAACATCCAATATTTAACTAATAGGGGTGTTCCAGAGGGCCTAATAGAGAACGGAAGAGAAGAAATAACCAAGGAACTAAGAGAAGCAAGCTTTCCAGAAGAGAAGAAAGAATTGAATCATCACATCAAAAGAGCTCATAAAGTGGCAAGCAGGAGGAGGATGATAGGTCTTTGCTGACATCATTGAATGGTCACAACTGCCAGGTATTGCCCATCTCTTGACTTGTTATGTGAGTTAAATGAACTTCTATCTGCTTACTGTTTGTCTGGGTTTCTGTATCTTTTGCTAAAGGCATACTTGACTAATATAATCCTACTCATTATAGCAATATAACATATAAATGCCCAGAACTAAACTTAACAAGAAATGTTGGAGACCTATATAAAGAAAACTGTAAGACAGGACCTGAGTAAATGGAGTAGATAGACTATCATGTTCCTAGAACAAGAAGTCCAATACTGCAAAGTAGTCAGTTCACACCAAATTAAGTTTTAAATTCAATATAATTTCAATCATATTTTAATAGGATTTTAAAATAGAGCTTGACAAGCTGTTCTAAATTTTATTTGGAAAAAGATACTGTTTAAGAATAGTCAAAAACAGTTTAAAAAGATGAGTGGGGACAGAGGAAGGGGATTTTCCTTATCACATATCAAGATATATGAAGTTTGTAATAACCAAAACAAATATGATAGTGATACAAAATTAGATGAAAGAGCTCGATGGAACAGAATAGATTCATATAGACAGATTCCTAATGTATGCAAATAATTTTAATAATAAAGATTGTATTTCAAAATAGAGCAGAAAAGGTAATGCCTAAATAAGTATTTATTCATTTAAAAAATTGACCACTTTTCTACCTCACACACCATAAAACAATTTCTAGATGGATTTAAAAAGTTAAAGGCTTTAAAACAAGTTATGTAAGTATTGTAAGAAAATAAAGAATATTTATTACAGGCTTTTTGAAATAAGACATAAAATTCAAAATCCATACAGGATAAGATTGAGAGAGCTGACCTCTTAAAAATTAACTTGTGAATTACAAATTAAAATGACGAGTTTTTTCTTACAATTAAAATTAAAAGGCAAGTGACAGAAAATATTTGCAACATATATAAGATAAATGATTTTTAATTTTTTTAATTTTTAAATTTTTTTGTAGAGACAAGGTCTCACTATGTTGCCCAGGCTGGTCTCAAACTCCTGGGCTCAAGTAATCCTCTCACCTTGAACTCCTGGGATTATAGGTGTTAGCCACCATGCCTGGGCTAAGATAAAGTACTAATATCTAGAATGTATGTAAGGATTTTCCCAATGAATACAAGAAAGACAGACTTTAATAGAAAATGGTCAAAATATATAACAGTTGGTTCATACAACTCTAAATAACTTTAAGCATATGACAGAATAAAATATCTTGTTTTTTGCCTGCCATACTGGCCAAAAGAGACTGATAATATCTTGTGTTGGCAAATGTAATGGGGCATGCACTGTCAAACACACTTGGAAATTTGTAGAACAGTCAAGTCTTTGTGGAGAGAATTTGGCAAAATCTAACAAAATTTAAGATGCATATATCCTTTGACTCTCCAAGTTTTACAAATCTATCCTGTAGAGAAACTTCCATATTTGTATAAAGATACATCCACAATGATGTTCACTGAAATATTATTTTAAATAATAAATATGGACACAATCTATCAACAGGGGACTAGTTAAATAAATTAGTATTACTGAATAATATACAGCCACCAAAATAATGAAATACCCATCTATATGTACTACAGTGGAAATATGTTCAAAACATACTGTTAAAGGCAAAAAAATCACAGAATACTTAGACCTTATTTCTACTATGTCAAATGGTATCTGTTATTATATATGCAAATGCATAGAAAAAGGATTGAAAGCAAACCCATAAAACTGTTAACAGTGCATTCCCTGGTGAAGGAGAATGGCAGGCAGTGAGGTTAAAGTGAGGGCAAAATGTTCATGTTTATTCTTCAATGTAGTTTCAATGTATTTTGAATATTCAAAGTAGACTCAATCTTTTCCAGTGAGAGTACAGCCATATATTAATCATTTGATTATTTGCCTAAAAAATATTAGTTGTCATAATGACTTGTTTTGAAAATTAAGTTATTCACAAAATAGCAATTATACACACAGGCACATAATATAAACTTGACATAGCATTATTTGACTTCAAATTACCACTCTGTTCCCATTTAAGGAATTCGAGTCTTTAAAAATATGTAACAATTCATACCATTGTAATATACTCAAATTCAACAACGTATTCTGGCAAAACAAGGTCATGATCAAAGACAAACCACTTGCACTGCCGAACACTGCAATCACAGTTTCTTTGTCCCATGACAGAATCTAGAGTAAAAACAAAAACAAGCAAAGCAAACACATTGCCTCAAATTGAAAGATACTTTTTCATTCTTACATGGATTAATAAATAACAAACTTAATAAGTTGCAACAGTTATGTTACTGAAGATTTTTTCTTTCATTTTTAATAAATAAAGTCAGTAAGTTGCAACAGTTATATTATTGAGGATTTTTTCTTTCATCTTTTCCACTCTAGCTTTTTAGTTATATAAATACTTACTAGTCATCCTTTTACTACATAGACTAGTAGTGCTTAATTTTATTCATATCCTTTTCCTTTTCATACTTTTTCACTTTTCTATTCCATGTGTGGCCATGTAATTTTGACAAATGTATTTCTCTAAAACTCTTGTTAAAAGTTGGGTGGTTTTTTAATTCTTTGAAAATGAACACACACACACACACACACACACACACACACAAATAGATAATTACATTAAAATTTGCCAGATTATCTACCCACACCCATACATAAATGTCTTTAAGGTAGGAAACATAAAAATTATTAGTGGCTAGTAACAGATTTTTGTAGAAAATTCTGCAAACTTTGTTAAGTAGAAATAAAACTGTGAGTATCCGTATTAAACACAAACATTTTTCATTCAGAGAAATGAAACCACATTAATCTTTATGACAGACATACTTAGTAAATATTTCCGAGGAATGAACACTGAATTAACCATTGGGTAGTTGGATTGACTGATGGATTCTTTTTCATGGGCCTGAGCACTCTGGCCAAGGAAAACTTTTGTAATGAGGAGGATGCCTAAATATGAAAAAAAGAAGCAATTCTTAAGAATAATTAACTTTAATAATTTTCCAACATAACCTTCTTTATTGGCTTAAAGACTAAACTGTATGTATGTTCTGTAAACACAGAGATGCTGGCTCTCTTGTTTGCTACTGTATAGCGCATAGCACATTGCTCGATCCAAAATAGATGCTCAACAAATATTTACTGAATAAATGAAATGATTATAAAAGAGGTGTTGTGTGATTATATCAAGCAAAGCTTTACAGAAGAGGGAGGAGGAAAGAACACATTAATTTAGCAAGGTTTTTTAAGTAGTTAAAAATAAATTTTTGTTGTTGTTAACTGGGTAAAGGTTCAGTAGCACCTAGCACATAGCCTAGATGGTAGGAGACACTCGATATATGTCTACTTAATGAATAAACATTTCGTTTCCCTTTAGATTCTTAAGGATCCTTGGGATTCATTAAATCCTAAAGTCAAGAATCTAAAAACATAATTTATAATCATAATACATAAAACATTCAAATAAATTTTGTTTGCTTTTACTATGTACAAGATATAAAATGCAAATTAGGAGAACCTGATTGTTTTGGAAAACATTCCAGAAGGATCTAGCAGAACATTATGAGGTATTCTTAATATGAAAATGGAGAAGAATGATAAAGAACGAAAGGTTTTTTTCAAGTAAGGAGTTAAGGAGTTCTTTCTAGACTAAATAACCTGCTTAATTTTATAATTATTATTAACTGAATAAAAAAACTGCAAAACACATATAGTTTAGTTCAGAATGATTCACCTTAGCATTCTGGAACCTAGAATGTCATTCTTATAGAATTCAGTTAACACAATTTCTTTAGTACCGTGGTCTCCAACCTTTTTGGCACCAGGGACTGGTTTCATGGAAGACAATTTTCCCGGAGACTGGGGATGGGAGGATGGTTTCAGGATGATTCAAGTGTATTATATTTATTGTGTACTTTATTTCTATTATTATTACATTGTAACATATAATGAAATAATTATACAACTCACCATAATGTAGAATCAGTGGGAGCCCTGAGCTTGTTTTCCTGCATCTAGATGGTCCCGTCTGGGGGTGATGGGAGACAAGTGACATATTATCAGGCATTAGGTTCTCATAAGGAGCACACAACCCAGATCCCTCGCATGTGCAGTTCACAATAGGGTTTGCGCCCCTATAAGAATCTAATGCTGTCACTGATGTGACAGGAGGTGGAGCTCATGCGGTAATGCGAATGATGGGGAGTGGCTGTAAATAAAGATGAAGCTTTGCTCACTTGCCCCCTGCTCACCTCCTGCTGTGTGGCCAGGTTCCTAATAGGCCACAAACTGCAACCAGTCGGAGGCCAGGGGTTGGAGACCCTGCTTTAGTAGGTTGGATGGTTGAGACTAAAGAATAGGTGTTCCTTACTCCCTGACCTGATCTATTGTCCATATTACACATTCTTTGGTACTATGCATTAATACTATATGTTTATAGCTCCTATATGATACTATGATTTTATATTTGTGATTATTAATATTTATAAGCACCATAAAGATGAAACTGTCTAGTTTGCATAGACTGTATCCCTTCCGGTGCCTAACACACAATAAGCATTCAATAAATACTTGTGGAACTAAAGAATGTGCAGTGGAAGAGGGTGAGGCAAGAAGGACATGATAAGCTGTAGTCTTTTTACCCAATCTGTGGGACCAGGGAATCTTTCCCAGAAGTGTCCTATAAATTGGTTTGTGTACTTATATTTCTACATATTCAAGCTGCAAATGAAGTACTAGTAACTATGAGTAAGTTATCAAAAATTTGTCTTACAAGTTATAAAGCAATCCATACACTTTCCAATTTGTCTTTAGCTAATTTTAACCTAAACCCAGGTTTTCTTATCATCTTACATTATGATGATTCAGGACAAATCAGGCCTACCTTCCGAAGTACTTTATATAATTATTATATAATTATCACATATATGGGCCAAATTCTTTTTTCTGTGAATTTGGTGTGTGTTTGTGTAGTGCATATATATATATATAAAATATATATATAGCATATATATATTTTTTATATATGCACTACATATATATGTTATATAATATGTATATTATATATGTAATATAATATATATGCTGAGTTTTTGCGAGACAACATAATGAACAAAAGCAGACTGTGAAAAATGTCCTTGAAAAGTTGAATTAAATATCTGAGTAACAAATGTTCCTCTTAATGCTGACATAATAATCACTCAGTAAGTATCTGTTAAAAGTGTGGCTAAATTAATGATGAGAAAGTCATGTATTACTACACTGGTAAATATGAAATAAAATGGTTTGAAGAACATCTCCTTGGTTGATAAAACCAAGTATCATAAATGATATGAAGATAATTAATGAATTTGAAGACTTAGAACTTAAAAGTTCAGAAACATGGCATATTTGTATTTACCATGTCTGAAGAGCTCATGCTTAAGAGAGTTTTTCTTCTCATCTTTGTGCTTTTGCTGTAAAAATTCAATTCTGGGACACTCACTTATACTTAAACTGTTAGAAAGAATGACGGCTTCTTTTTTGAGAGGCAACTGCAAAGAAAAAACAAAGTCTGAGTATTTTTATAAAATTGACAATACTTCAACTTCAATACAGAGGGTTTATTATTTTATGTTTATGTGTCTGGGCAAAGAAATCTGCAGGCCAGACTCACTGAAAAGAAATAGATAACCTTCATGTGCAACTTCATTTGGCAAAGCCATTTATATATCTTAAATTCATATGCAAATAGGTTAATAAAAGGTGATGCAGAACAAAAATTGTTCCTGGAAAAGCAGCCACAGTCAAGACTGACAACACTATGTGAAGCAAGAGCAATAGCTTTCAGTGAGTACTCCACTAGTAATCTTGCTAACTCCAAAAAGAAAATCTAATGGAATGAGGTATTATATCAGTGAAGATTCTTATTTATACTATAATTTTTTGGTCTAATAATCTACATTGTTTTCCAGAAACAAAACACTTTTCATGTGCTAAGCCACGGAAGTCCTAGTTTGTATTGTGACTAACTTTATTTCTTGAAAGTATTCTATCAGTAATGTTCACATTACCTGCTTGCTGTGAAAACAGCTCTAATAACCAAAAATCTCTATTTTTAGATTTTAGTAGTAAGAAAACTAGAGCTAAAAGCGATTATACGATCTCTCCAAGGACAGAACTAGTAATTGGCAAAGTCATGATTTGAACTCAGGTCTATTTGTCCTTGTCACAATCTCAAAGGTTTGAAATTACTATTTGTTTAACATTAATAGCCAAATTACTTAGAATTATGTCTTATCTGTAAATGCCAAATTACTATTTTTTTATTGAAATCTGCAATCCAAAGAAATTCTTAAAAAATAAATACAGTCAGCCCTCCATGTCCACAGTTCCCATATCTGAGGATTCAATCAACCATGGACTGAAAATATTTAGGAAAAAAATGCAGTACAAAATAATACAAATAGTAAACAATGCAGTATAACAACTATTTAAATAGTATTCTCATTGCATTATAAGTAGTCTAGAGGAGTTTTAGAGTACACAGGAGGATATGTGTAGGTTATATGCAAATACTGCACCATTTTATATAATGAACTTGTGTATTTGCAGATTTTGGTATCTGCATGAGTCCTGGAACCAATCCCCCGGAGATACTGATGGATGACTATACTCTAATAGGGCTTATCTGACCACAAATTCCACACCCCAGTAAGTAACCTTCTTAGACTTTCAATGAACACCACTAAATATCCATTTGATATAACCCATGTGCATGACATTGTAAGGTTACAGTATAGTCTTGGTCCTCAGTTAAGAAAGGCAAAGATAGAAACTATACACGATAATTAAAAAAATACAAGGCATCACAAGATGTGTCAAATAAGATATACTTTCTAACTGAAGGGATTAGGAAGGAGTTTATAGAGGTAATGAAATCATGGGTAGGCTTTGAAGATTGGACATAATTCAAATAATCAGAAATTTAAAATGAAATTATATTTTAAGAGGAGGAAAACATATGAAGGTATGCAAATAGGTGTGATTGCTATCCATCTATCTAACATCCATTCCTTCACTAGATTTCTACTAAGAATCTACTCTATAAATATAGATCCTGCGCTTACAAACTGGTAGAAAAATGCACACAAATGATTATACTTAAATAAAACAAATGTGTTACAATAAAAATTCTCAGTTGATCACCACTTAACTAACACTTAACCAGTTTGCAGGATTAACCAGTATTTTCTGTTGTCTATATAACTCATAGTATGATGGCCATTCAGGGATAAAATGGAACTTTTAAAAACACGGATGTACCTCTACTGTATCCAGCTGTGTTGTATGCTTACCAAGAGTCAGTTAATTTTGTTCCCAGACTTGCTTATGCCAGTTGTAGTTGTTATGAAATTACATATATTATTTAAAGCTATAAAATAGAAGAGGAGTTGTTTCTTTGAACAATTTTGGAAAAATGAGTAAAATTCAATAGAAGATAATCATTAAAAACTTCTGGCAAGGCATGTGTAGACAAAGCAAATGCAAAAGTTTGGGGTAGTAGGGGGAATCAGACAAACTAAAAGGATTCTTACATTCGAGTTACTTTGCAAGAATCTTTAAGGGCATGCTCAACTTTAAGGAAACCAAAACTAATATGAAACATGGTTATGGCTGATACAAGAAAGACTAGTAAGAGTTCCAATTTCATAGTCAAAGCCTTTGGCCCTACATAGAAGATTGACACATGAATGTAAATTTATGTTTTAAGTTATATTAAAGGATTTGTTAAGTAAACGATTTGTTTACAGTTCTCCATTTTAACTGACTTTTTGGGTTAACCTGCAAACTAGGTAAAAGGGCACCTACTGTTTGAAAATTCAGGAAAAGTCACACAAAGGAAGAAGCCCTTGAGCTGGGACTGCAATGATCAGTAAGTCTGTTACAAGGAAAAAATAGAAAACAGCATTTCATCAAAGGGAGGTATGAGCTGTACTTAGGAGAATCACAAGTAGACTACATAATTCATTAGGGGCACTTGGCATATTTGGTAATAGGGAGATAGGTTGAAGCTAGATTGTGAGGGTTGTCAGAGGCCTTCAATGCCAGGCAGAGGAATGTGGACATCATCATTATATGTAATGGGAAGCTACTGAAAGTTTCTCATCATGGACACAGTGCAATGTGCACTATGAAAATCATGTTTTAAGAAAGATTAATTTGTTTGTACTGTGAAAAATGGAAGAACTAGGGGGCATGACCAAGGGCAATGTTGCCTATTAGGAAACAATGGCAAAGATTAGAAGGAAAGTTCTAAGGGTTGAAAGTGGTGGCAGACAATGGGATTAGGGAGAGAAGTGAAGAACCGCTGGAAAATTATTAGATGTGGGGATAATGGAAAAGGGAGGGGTTGAACACAATTCCAAGACTTTGAGCATGTTCAGTGAAGGAAATGACAGTATTGTTATAGAAATTAGGAAAGAAGACCAGGAGAGAGCTGCTATGGGAAAAAGATTAAAGGCTGGTTTTAAAATTAGAGATGACACAAACAAATGGAAAAACATTCCATGCTCGTGGACAGGAAGAATCAATATTGTTAAAATGGCCATACTGCCCAAAGCAATTTATAGAGTCAATGCTATTCCTATCAAACTACCAGTGACATTCTTCACAGAACTAGAAAAAACTATTTTACAACTCAGTTGGAACCAAAAGAGAGCCCAAATAGCCAAGCCAATCCTAAGCGAAAAGATCAATGCTGGAGGCATCACACCATCCAACTTCAAACTACACTACAGTTCTACAGTAAGAAAACAGCATGGTACTGGCACAAAAACAGACACATAGACCAATGGAACAGAATAGGAAGCCTGGAAATAAGGGAGCACACCTACAACCATTTCATTTTCAACAAAGCTGACAAAAACAAGCAATAGGGACAGGAACCCCTATTCAATAAATGGTGCTGGGATAACTGGCTAGCCATATGCAGAAGATTGAATCTGGGTCCCTTTCTTACACCATATATGAAAAATCAGCTCAAGATGGAATTAAATGTAAGGACTTAAATGTAAAATCCGGAACTGTAAAAACCCTCACACAACCTAGACAATACCATTCTGGACACAGAAATGGGCGAAGACTACATGAGGAAGACATCGAAAGCAATTGCAACAAAAGCAAAAATTGACAAATGGGATCTAATTAAACTTAAGAACTTCTGCATAGCAAAAGAAACAACAGAGTAAACAGACAATCTACATAATGGGAGAAAATTTTTGTAAACTGTGCATCCAACAAAGGTCTAATATCCAGATCTATAAGGAAATTAAACACATTTACAAAAGATAAAATCACCCCATTAAAAAGCGGGCAAAGGATATGAACAGACACTTTGCAAAAGAAGACATACATGTGTTCAATAAGCATAACAAAAAAAGCTCATCCTCACTGATCATTAGAGAAATGCAAATCAAAACCACAATGAGACACCATCTAATTCAGTCAGAATGGCTATTATTAAAAAGTCAAAAAATAACAGAGGCTGGCAAGGCTGTGGAGAAAAAGGAATGTTTATACATTTTTGGTGGAAGTGTAAATTGGTTCAACCATTGTGAAGAACAGTGTGATGATTCCTCAGAGACCTAAAAACAGAACTACCATTTGACCCAGCAATCCCATTACTGGGTATATACCTAAAGGAATATAAATCGTTCTGTCGTAAAGACACATGCATACATATGTTCATTGCAAACTATTCACAATAGCAAAGACATGGAATCAACCTACATGCTCAGACTGGATAAATAAAATGTGATACATATACACCATGGAATACTATGCAGCCTTTCTAGGAACATGGATGGAGCTGGAAGCCATTGTCCTGAGCTGGAAGCCATTGTCCTTAGCAAACTCACACAGGAACAAAAACCCAAAATACTACATTTTCTCACTAATAAGTGGGAGCTAAATGATGAGAACACATGAACACAGAAAGAGGAACAACAGATATTGGGGTCTACTGGAGGGAGGAGGGTAGGAGGAAGGAGAGGAGCCGGAAAAATAACTAATGGGTACTAGGCTTAATACCTGGGTGACAAAATAATCTGTACAACATACCCCCATGACACAAGTTTATCTAAATAACAAACCTACACATGTAACCCTGAATTTACAGTTTTAAAAGGCTGGTTTTAGACATACTGTATAAGAGAATAAAGTATATTAACCATGCAGGAATGGCAGCTGTAGGTGTCACAGCAGAGAGGAAGAGATAGCCTAACTGAAGATGTACACTTTAGAGAAACCATAAGGGAATATGTGATAGTCTTTGCGTTTATTGACCAAGTCCTTGATTACAAACAATTTGATAGGGAATGAAATCAAGCTATGTGAGCAGATTTACTCACATACTCTCCCACCCTTACTACTGAACACTTCATCCTGAAGTGACAGAAAGAGCTCCTTCCTCTTCCAACTAGAAAGTGGACTTAACCTTAGATATGTTTGTTAGTGAAATAGTTTCTTCTTCCCTACTACAGCCAGTCGTCTGCCTGTAGATACTGCCAACCTTAGCCAAACCTCTCTTCTAAACTGCTTACAAAGCTGTCTTTTAAATCAGAGCCCATCTCTTAAACAATGCAGAACATAAATATTTATCCTGACCCATTATGTACACATCATAGCACAGAAATGTAGCTCATCTCATCTTTTACATGCTAGACGCTGATGTTTCTCCCATTTCTAGGATCTTAACAATGACAGTAATTGACGGTGTGTGAAGAAAAAAGGGAAGATCAGGAGACTTTAACCTGTGTTATTCTCATGTTTAGAGGCAAAATGGGGAACAAAAAGGAAGCAAATAACAATCAGAAAAATAGGAGGATAACAATAGTATAATATCATGGATGCCAAAGGAGAGTTTCAAAAAGGAGAAGGCAATCAATAGTGTCAAATGTTTCAGACAATGATAAAAATTCAAAAATAAAAATATTTAAAACTTTCAAAATAAAATATCAAAAACTTTCTTGGTGCCAGGCATTGGTCCAAGAGATTTTTTTTGGTAAATCTTATTATCTTATTTAATCTGATATGTCCAAAATACTATCAAGTCAACATGTATTCAATATAAAAATTATAGTGTTTTTTTCCATACTCAGTCTTTAAAAACAGTGCTTGTTTTAAACTTTCAGTATACTCAATTTGGACTAGCCACATTTCAAATGCTTAATAGTTACATGTGGGTGGTGGCTACTCTTTTGGACAGAGCAGCACAGAGAGCTGTGGGAGAATTAAAGGAGATGGTTCATTCTTTTAGGAGATGCAGAAGATAACGTACTCAGCAGAGGGGCTGGTAGGTGGAAAACACAGAAGTGTTAGCCTCATCCTTCCCTCACCCTCTCCTGATAATGGTTCATAGTTCTCTGGACTGAATGTGAGCAATTCACTCTGCCTTGTAAAACCCTGAATTCCTCACCTCCTTCTTACTTCTCCATAAAGTACAATGAGAGCACTCTCACCACCACCCTGCAGCAGAGTACCAACCTCTACGGCCTGAGCTGCTGCAATAACTCCCCCACATAGTGCCTTGTCATCTGCTTCTACTCCCACCAACCCATTCCCCATTGAGTGTATGGAATGCTTTTTTGGGGGGTGATTTTTTTTATTGTGGCAAAATACACACAAGATAGAATGTCCCATTTTAGCCATTTTCAAGCATACAATTCAGTAGCATTAGGTACATTCACATTGTTGTGCAACCATCAGCACCATCCATTTCCAGAACTTTTTCATTATTCCAAACTGAAACTCTGTACCCATTAAACAGTAACTCCCTACCCCCTCCTCTCCCAGAGCTTCTGGTAACCTCTATTCTACTTTCTGTCTTTGAATTTGCCTATTCTAGGTACTCCACATACATGGAATCTTACAATATTTTTCCATTTTCGTCTGGCTTATTATTTCACTAGCATAATGTTTCCAAGGTTCTTCCGTGTTGTAGGATGTTTCAGAATTTCATTTCTTTTTATGACTGAATAGCATTCCATTGTATGTATATTCCACTTTTGTTTATCCATGCATCTGTTGATGCATATTTGCATTTCTAGTTTTTTGGCTATTTGAATAGTGATGTCATGAACACTGGTGTACAAATATCCAAGAACTTTTTAATGCATTATCTCACTAAATCGTAACAACTCTGCAAAATAGATATTATTATTATCTTCATTTTACAGATAGGAAGAAACAGATGAACAGAGAGGTGAAGTCACATAGCTGCTGAGGAGTGAAATCAGGATCCAAACGCAGCAATATTATCATTTTATGTGTGTCATGATGTGAAAAGAACTGGGAAGCGCTGCTCTACACCAGTGTGCTACAGCTGCCTCGTGAAGACGGTGGAGGTCTGAGAAAGATTGGTTGGGTACTTGGGGCATCAGAAGTTACCAATGATAAAGCAAGATCAGCAGCAAGATGGGGAATAGTGAAGTAGAGAATAAAGAAATGGTAGCAGTAAAAAGAAAGTGAAAACAGGACAATAGCTACAAAGTACAGTGGAGTTAAGTGACTGAATTGTTTCAAGGTGAAGACTCTGGAGAGTTTACAACAGATTAAATATGTATAGCCAATTTAAAAAGCAGATTTCAAAACCATCAACAAAAGGATCATAACATAAAAATAAGATGCCTAGAAGGATTAAGTAGGGTCAGACAGTAGTAATTGATAGACTTACTTTGGTATAATCCGAAGAGGAAAGATGCTATACTTTCCATAATAACACTAAGCTTTTTGTGAAACAGCAGTAGAAGTTTACTATAAATATGGATAAAAGGATTGGGAATCATGCTTAACCAGTGGCAGAGCTCCACTTGCTAGGAAGAAAGCATTATTCTAAATGACATTCTATGCTACCTTGCTTGTTTCACTCTCTTTGAATCCTTTTTCAAGTATTTGTAGAAGATGCTTTTTCTTCACTGTAACTTCAGGATCAAAAACATAAAAAAGGCATTCCAGCATCCTTCGGTAGCTCCTTAAGAATAAGTGAAACAGAAGAAGTTTGAGGATTGATTTCACAAAAGCTTAGCCGTAGATAAGATAACCATATGTCCTGCCAGGGATATTTCTCATTTACATGCAATGTTCTAGTGTTATTAATAATAGCTCCCCTGCCTTCAATCTCAAAAACAGGCTCTATGTGGATAAATTATGAGGTCATCCTAGCCATGGGAAATGCATAAAAAGGAAACATTTACTAGCAAGGTATATGTGTATTTTTAATGCTGTAAACTTTTAAAATAGAAATTTTACAAATACGGTCAAACTTTTTAAAGTTGTTCCATAAAGAATTCAACTTCTTACTCTGAATCATGCATATCTTCATTCTCCAAAAACTTTTGAAATTTCTCTTCGAATTTTAATCTCAGAATACGGTTGTTAACTTTAATGATGCGTTTTACTTTTACTCCTGTAATACCATATGTTCTGAAGTCCCAGGCACAAAAACGTGACAGAATTAATTCATAGCAGAAATTAAACCTATGTGGGCATACAGAATATACATGAAGAGTATAACAGATTTTCCTTAAAATGTTTAAGAACAGAAGATTACATATGATAAAAGCTATGGCTCATATTTTGTGTTTTTTTGCTAAAGATACTATAATCATATAGTGGCTCTGTTTATTCATTTATTGCACATTTGTTCTGCCTGGAAGACACGTTGGTTGAGCAATCCTCACTTTCTGAAACATGTTCTTTCTTAGCTTCAGGGAAACTACACACGCCTTCCTCTTATTGGCTGCTCTTTCATAGTTTTCTTTGCTGGGTCTTCTCAGATAGACTTTTAGATGTTGAACTGCCCAGGGATCAGCCTTTGGCCTTCCTCTTGTTTCCATGAACACTCTCCCTAGATGATTTCACGTGGTTCCTTGGTTGTATATACATCCTGATAAATTACAACATTTTATTTCTAGTCTTGATCTCTACCCAGCTTAGCTGGTTATACCCAGACTTGAATATCTAACTACCTACTTGATATGTCCATCTGCATATTAAATAGGTGACTCCAACTTAACATAACTAACACTGCACCCCAAACTTGCTCCTCTGAGTATTTTCCATCTCAGTATATGGCACCACCATTTAACTGGTAGCTTAAGTCAAAACCGTAGGAATAATCCTCTCCTTTCTTCCTTACCAGTATCCAAATCTTTTTTGTTTGTTTGTTTTTGTTTTTGTTTTTGAGACGGAGTCTCGCTCTGTCGCCCTGGCTGGAGGGCAGTGGCGCGATCTCCGCTCACTGCAAGCTCCGCCTCCCGGGTTCACGCCGTTCTCCTGCCTCAGCCGCCCGAGTAGCTGGGACTACAGGCGTCTGCCACCACGCCCGGCTAATTTTTTATATTTTTAGTAGAGACGGGGTTTCACCGTGTTAGCCAGGATGGTCTCAATCTCCTGACCTAGTGATCCGCCTGCCTCAGCCTCCCAAAGCGCTGGGATTACAGCCCTGAGCCACCGCACCCGGCCCCAGTATCTAATTCTTTAGGAAGTTCACCTGGCTCTACATCTAGAATCCATCCTGAATATGATCATGTTTTATCATCACCACTGTTACCATCCTAATCCAAATCACCACGATCTCTCATTGGACTACTGAAATAACTTCCTGACTATGAATACGGATATGAAAGAGGCAATGTCTGCTCTAATGAAGCCTAAACAAGTAAAGCCAGAAATAAAATTTCTAAACTGATAAGGGCTCTGAAGAGAAGCTTGGGGTAAGGAATGCAAAGGGGACCTACTTAAGATAGGGCCTTGGAGGAGACCTTTCAGAGACGTTAAGATATTTGATCTGAAAATTGGAGGAGGAGCAGCAGGAGCCAGCTGTGTGAAGAACACTGAAGCGCTTGTTTGCTCTCTGCTGCCCTCACCTGGCCATACGCATAAAATTCCGGTCCTGTCTAGCACAGAACCTAGATTGAGATGAGATTGAAAAATGGATCATCTTGAGAAGGAAGTAAATGATCTTATAAGGAATACATTTGCCTTTAATGAAAGATCTAGGTCCTCACCTACATAATCAACCAGGATCTGAAATGGGTGTGAGCTAAAGTCACAGAGGTGAGCTTCCTGATGGGTAGCCTCTCCTTGAGCCTAAGAGCGAGCTCCTAACTTAGGGCATCTATATTTCTCACAAGCAAATACTTAATCAATGCAGCCAGGATCTTATAAATTACTTCTCCCCTGGAGTTGAAAAGACAGCTGCCTAAATCAAACTAATCTCAGAGGACCTCACAGTCTGGTAGAGAAGACAGATATGAATAGTGTTGCAATCAAGCATGATGCCTGCTAACCAGTTCAGAGGACCTACTAAAACAGCCACATTATCATCTGAGGTGGGGAAGCTAGTGCCCCTCCTATAGAGGGATCATTTGCTGGGCCTAAATTTGTCAGGTTTCCCCTAAATAACATGTCCTGGAAGCTTTCTGCACTCTGATAGAAACTAGGGCTGCAGGTGTTTTAGATAAAGCTTTTGCTATATAGTGGATATTGGGCTTGAGGCGTCTCATGAATGGGTGGAAGGAATGAATAGGCAATATCTAGCTTCTAGGCTGGTCCCCCAGGAAGGCAGGAGCTATGAGGTGTGATTTTTTCATGGATATTTTATGTTGCCCAGGAATTCAACAGCTGAGCAATGATGAAGTAAGGGTGAGATATGCAAAAGCATTCTGGGTGAAGGAAGCAGAACAAACAAAACCACTTATGTGGTGGAGTACTGCATTTGCTTCAAGAGCAGTGCGGTACACAGTTCAGCTGACTTTAAAAGATCTGAACAGAAGTTATGATAGTCTAAAACCATACAGTGGAGAACACTGATCCTTCACTGTAGGTGAAGAGTCTGCCAATAAAACAAAACAAAACAAAAGCTTTTGCAGCTATTTGTTGCCTTCCAAATTACATTCAGTAATTACCTACAGTAGAGGATTCATTATTCTCCACTGTATGGTCTCTAAACTAATCATAACTCCTGTTCAAATCCTTTAGAATCAGCAGAACTGTGTACCTTATCCTCATTCATTCAGCGGGACTTGACGGTATAAACATTCACAATGATATGTATCAATGACTAATATATTCAGTTACATAGAAATATGCCTACAAATTTTGTTAATATACAATAATGTGCTCATTTAGCAAATGTAGGATACATATGTTTTTAAATGTCTGACGCTTAATCTATTAAAATATACTTTATAATCCTAGATAAGGGTTTAATAAATATTTTTACAGGCTTACTGACTTAAATCAACATCATAACAGTTTCAAAACCCTATAAAACAAAAAGTTTCTGCTTCTGTAGCTCCTTGAGATAGTATAGCATGAAATATTTATAAAGAGGCAGATTAATTACTGAAAGTCATTATATACATCAAAGCAAAACTGTTGAGTATCTATAAAGTGATATGGAAGCTTCAACTAGTAAATATATACTGGGCTATTAATCCAGCCCCATGCTAGATGTTATGACTTGTAAGACACACAAAACATCCTATCTTCCCCAAAGGAACTTACAGAGTCACTTGTATATTGTTTCGTGGTATTTTAAAGGTTTTTAAAGTTGTAAATAGACTGTATCTATAACCAGGTTGACAGCTTCTCAGGCACAAGGACAGCATCTTTTATGCTTTGGAGTCCCTACTTGATAAATGTTGTCTGATGTCAACGGGTAACTCAATTGGCAACACATCAGTAAATAATATGAATCTATAATAATGAAGGTATAGTAGCAATAATCCACTCAACTAGCATGTCTCTATAAAATAAGATTTTTTAAAACTGGAAAATATAATAATTTTATTTCATAAAAGAAGTGAAGCTAAGAGATAATGACATACAATTAGAAACATGCAGTGTTTTGTTGTTGTTAAAGACATAAAGGTAATTTTAACAGAAAATCTTTCAGTCCTAGTTCTACTCAAATACTTTTTATTTAAAGACTGAATCCTTAGCCTTAAAAATATTAATAAGATAAGTCAATGTTTAAATAAAACAACTAGAAATGTAGCCTAGCAATTTAAAGCACTTAGTAGTTATTTCTTTGCATAAAAGATCAGAGGAAAAGTAGCCAAACTTGCAGTATGCTAAAACTAAAAAACAGTCCTTTAAATTCTGCTAACATATATTTGATTTATTCCTTAAAATAAATCAAGGTTACCCTTTTTAAAACCAAGTAAACAGGTTAATGCTAATCAAAATCCATCAAATCCACCTAATTTACTATCAGGCTGACATAGTTATCTAAATGACTTTTTGGTCATTTTGCTTTTACATTTTTTTTCACTAATCCACTTGTCACAAAGAGCTTCCTTTGCAATAAGTTAAAAAGAAACAGAAATAAGTTTTAAAAATCCTGTTTAGGGCTGGGCACAGTGGCTCATGCCCGTGATCCCAGCACTTTGGGAGGCCGAGGTAGGAAGATCACTTGGGCCAGGAGTTTGAGACCAGCCTGGCCAACATGGCAAAAACCCATCTCCACTGAAAATACAAAAATTAGCAGGTGTGGTGGCATGCACCTATAATCTCAGCTACTCAGGAGTCTGAGGTAGGAGACTCGCTTGAACCTGGGAGGCAGAGGTTGCAGTGAGCTGAGATCGGGCCACTGCACTCCAGTCTGGGGAACACAGCGAGACTCTATCTCAAAAAAAAAAAAATTCCTGTTTAGGTTGAGTGAATATAAATGTGCACCCAGTAGAGACACACCATTCAGTTTTTGCACTTGAAAAGTCAAGGCCTTTACTTGTTTATATGGGAACTGGATGAACACCTTTTATATCTTTGTATATAAAAATCAAATAATGTGGTTAAGCAAACAGTAACTCCTGGGCAAATGGATGTACTAATACAAAGGAAAGTATTTTAAAATGCCTCTTTTTCCCCTGCAAAGAGCTTCTTACGCTTTTCCACCAGAGTTCTTTCTCCCAAGACCTTTGAGAAGCTTTTACTCACAGAGGTGAGAGAAAAGCCATGTCTAATAGAAATCAGGGGACTTGGTTTAAAGTAACCCATAACACTGACAGTTTTTTTTCTAAAAAGTTAGTGTAAGTTTTACATTCTACACTATAAAAAGTAGTATTTATTTTGACATTGACTTCAAGTAAAATCATGCTCCAGGGTTATGTGCCAAGTCCATTCTATAGTTTGACATGTCTCCTGGTGTATTTCCATGTACCCAGTTCCTACTGTGGCTCTAGAGCAATCTTTCTGTTTCACAGGCTCTTCAATTCTGAAAAAAAATGACTCAGAAATGTGAAAGTCATACTTAACAATATTTTTCTTCATGACTTTTTTTTTTAAGGGTAATTTTAAATTGTGCCCCTCTAATTGAAGCAACACAACCACTTCCTAGTATCTACTAGTAGGCCTTGGTTCTAAAGCCTGGCTGTCTCATTTCTGCTTGAATCTGGTGTCTCTCCACTTTTGCTGATACAAGCTTTTGACCTGAATTCCTGATATAAGCATATACTTTATCCTAACATGTAGTGTTCTTGTGCATCCTTACTGTAGCTATCTCTAAACAGTGGGTTCCACTCTGATCACAGACCTACAGAAGATTTGCTAGACAGTCTCCTCCCATGTTGGCAACCTGCTGTTGCCAGTCCTGCTTTGGCATTCTTGCTCTGTTCCAGTTTCTCAACCAATATTCAGAAACATGCACTATATCCAGTCCAGAAACAAACAGTATAAACATATGAAAAATTAAAACTTGATTATAAACTTTTTTTTTCTAAATTATATTCTGCTCTTGGGCTAAGGAAAATTGGGTAAAGAGCAATGATAAATCATTAGGATGTCTTCAAGGCTGGCTCATGATAATGGCATAAACAGAAATGTATAGGTGGAAAGTAGGTAATTTTCAATTTTCAATAGATGCCTGCCAATTTTTAATAGATGAATATTCTGCATGAGAGATGTTCCAAAAATGGGACATTCTAGGATTTTACAAGTTGATATTCTGGTTGATGATCCTAAGTACTTAAATTATTTTTAAAGCTATACTAAATTTCTAAAAGATTTACCAGTCATCAGATCGAGTGCCTTCCTCAAAATGGAAATTTCCCACAGTCTCTAACTCAGTTAACAAAAGTGGGATCAATAAGCCATGACTTTTCTTCTTTTGTTTTACTTCAATATGATAAATTGCTTCAATTCTGTTGGAGAGAAAAATACATACAGCTATTAGAATGATCTACAAATCACAACATTAAAACTTATGATAGACTTTTTTTAAACTGATGTTAAAACACAAGGCTTCCTTTCAATGGATAAAGTTTTGTGTTAACAGTTAAACCATGTAAAGGATATTCTATTTTTGGCAATTAAAATCACTTTTAATTTTGCTACTCTCAGAATATGCAAATGCTAGAAGACTATCCTTGCTCTACCACTTACAGCTTTCAGCTCTCAGACATGTCATTTGGACTTTTTATGCCTCAGTTTTCTTAGTAAAATGGCAATATTCATAGTCCTTATTTCTAAAATGGCTGTTTTATATATATGCAAAATACATGTAAAGATCTTAGCAAAGAGTCTGGCACAAAATAAAAACCCAATACATGTTACCATCATTTTTAGTATTATCACAGGGCACACTAACTTATCCACTTAGTGCCTTAGTAAATAAAAAAATTCACAGTCCTTGCTAAGCCTTCTTGCTTTACATTTTGAATTGATAATTGAGACTGAACTTGTTTCTACTGTGTGTGGGCTTTGCCAGGTCTCATCTGTTTGGTGAGTTTATGCACCAGCAGAGGCTCTATTGTTTTTAGTTTGCAGACACTAGAGCAGTGATATGATAGGAAGCCACTGGGAGGAAGCTTACTGTTCCTAATTAAGAACTGCCTCTGCAAAAAAACTGTATGCCAGCTTTTAACCCATGATGATTATAAGTACTAGGAACTAGTACTAAGAATATAATTCATGCTTTACTTCATACTGTAATTGTTCACACTCCTGAAGAAGGGAACTAGGGTCAATGATGGCCCAAAACATTCTGATTCTCTCAGTTTTAAATCTGAACAACTAGATAATTAATTAAACATACTCATCTAGTTTTTTGTTCCAGAATGTTACCCTTTCATTCAAGGCACTTAGTTTGGTCAATATCTTCTGTTGAAGACTTGGTTCTTCAGTGACAGTTTCACAACTCTTCAATGTTTCAGGATCAGTTACTTTACTGTTATTGGATCCATCACTGTGCCCTTTGCCCGAGCCCTTGAGTTCAGCCAGTTCTCGTTCCAACTGTGGAAAACATTGCATCAGAGAGCAAAATAAAAATAAAACATGGTCTAGGCAAATTCAGAATTCAGATATTAATTTTTAATGGGATCTATTAAACAAATGTCTAATTTAAATGAACAAAGTGGGAATCCAGGTAATAAACAAGCTAAATTTCATAAAAGCATGCCAAACATGTGATTTCAACTTGGGTGCAAATTCAGTCAGCCAGTTTCTCTTGACCAAGTGCCAACCTTAACCACTTCAAACATGGCAGTCTCTCAACTGAAAATAAGCAAAGCAACAGATTTTCAAATAGTTTTAATAAGTTTGCCTCTATTAAAGCCAAAGTAAAATTAAAATAAATACTGGTTTTAGTACAAATATTTAAAATTAAAATAATGTAATTTTTAACACACCTACTTTTCAATTTTTAAGTATTTTTCAACCATTTTGGTGTTCTGGAAAAAAATAACTAGTAGAAATACACAAAAGCATATATATAGGGGTGCACATTTTTCCTTTTGTCTTAGTCTCTTACATGACTCAGCACTGGTCTTAAGGTTTTGTTATTTTGGGGTTTTTACATTTATCATAATGAACTTTTTGCATTAATGTAGATATTTAAAAATGCTGCATTGAATATTATTTATCTTGATTACTAAGGTTTTTGGGTACTCCCTTAAATTCTGGGCCCACAGCAAGAACCTCTTTTGTCTAACTCTAATCTCAGCCTTATGTAATTTAAAGATAAACTGTACTGAGGAGGGGGGCCAAGATGGCTGAATAGGAACATCTCTGGTCTGCAGCTTCCAGTGAGACCAATGCAGAAGGCAGGTGATTACTGCATTTCCAACTGAGGTACCTGTTCATCTCATGGGGACTGGTTAGACAGTGGGTCCAACCCATGAATGGTGAGCAGAAGCAGGATGGGGTGTCACATCACCCAGGAAGTGCAAGGAGCAGGGACCTCCCTCCCCCAGCCAAGGGAAGCCATGAGGGACTCTGCTATCCAGCCAGGTTACTATGCTTTTCCCACCATTTTTGCAATCTGCAGATCAGGAGATTCCCTCCTGTGCCTACACCACCAGGGCTCTGGGTTTCAAGCACAAAACTGGGCAGCTGTTTGGGCAGACACTGAGCTAGCTGCAGGAGTATTTTTTTTTTTTTTTTTTTTTTTGAGACACGGTCTTGCTCTGTCGCCCAGGCTGCAGTGCAGTGGCGTGATCTCAGCTTACTGCAAGCTCCGCCTCCTGGGTTCATGCCATTCTCCTGCCTCAGTCTCCTGAGTAGCTGGGACTACAGGTGCCCGCCATGGAACCCCTGCGAGATAGAATCATTCACTCCCCTGCAGAGGGGACTGAAGCCAGGGAGCCAAGTGGTCTCGCTCAGTGGGTCCCACTGCCATGGAGCCCAGCAAGCTAAGAACCACTGGCTTGAAATTCCTGCTGCCAGCACAGCAGTCTGAAGTCGACCTGGGTTGATTGAGATTGGTTGGGGCAGGGGTGTCTGCCATTATTGGGGCTTTAGTAGGTGGTTTTTCCCTGACAGTGCTAAGAAGGTTGGGAGGTCTCGGCTGGGTGGCAAAGCGGCTGTGGTCAGACTGCTTCTCTAGATTCCTCCTCGCTAGGCAGGGCATCTCTGAAGGAATGGTAACAGCCCCAGTAAGGGGCTTACAAACAAAACTCCCACTTCCCTGGGACAGAGCACCTGGTGGAAGGGGTGGCTGTGGGCACAGCTTCAGCAGATTTAATCGTTCCTGCCTACCAGCTCTGAAGACAGCAGCTAATTCTGACAAGAGAGATTCTCCCAGCACAGTGCACCAGCTCTGCTAAGGGACAGACTGCCTGCTCAAGTGGGTTCCCGACCCCCATGCCTCCTGACTGGAAGACACCTCCCAACAGGGTCGACATACACCTCATACAGGAGAGCTCTGGCTGGCATCAGGCCAGTGCTCCTCCAGGATGAAGCTTCCAGAGGAAGGAGCAGGCAGCAATCTTTGCTATTCTGCAGCCTCTACTTGTGATACCCAAATGAACAGGGTCTGTAGTAGACCTCTAGTAAACTGCAGCAGACCTGCAGAAGAGGGGCCTGTTAGAAGAAAAACTAACAGAAAGCAACAACATCAAGATCAACATAAGGACCCTCACACAAAAACCCCATCCGAAGGTCATCAGCCTCAAAGATCAAAGGTAGATAAATCCATGAAGATGAGGAAAAACCAGCACAAAAACGCTGAAAATTCCAAAAACCAGAATGCCTCTTCTCTTCCAAATGATTGCAACTCCTCTCCAGCAAGGGCATAAAACTGAACAGAGAATGAGACTGATGAATTAACAGAAGTAGACTTCAGAAGGTGGGTGATAACAAAATCCTTTGAGCTAAAGGAGCAAGTTCTAACCCAATGCAAGGAAGCTAAGAACATTGATGAAAGGTTACAGGAACTGCTAACTAGAATAACCAGTTTAGAGAACATAAATGACCTGATGGAGCTGAAAAACACAGCACAAGAACTTTGTGAAGCATACACAAGTATCCATAGCTGAAATCGATCAAGCAGAAGAAAGGATGTCAGAGATTGAAGATCAGCTTACTGAAATAAGGCATGAAGACAAGATTAGAGCAAAAAGATGAAAAGGAATGAACAAAGCCTCCAATAAGTATGGGATTATGTGAAAATATCAAGTCTCTGATTGATTGGGGTCCCTGAAAGTGATGGGGAAAATGGAACCAAGCTGGAAAACACACTTCAGGATATTATCCAGGAGAACTTCCCCACCCTAGCAAGACAGGCCAACATTCAAATTCAGGAAATACAAAGAACACCATTAAGATACTCCTTCAGAAGAGCAACCCCAAGACACATAATTGTGAGATTCTCCAACACTGAAACAAAGTAAAATATGTTAAGAGCAGCCAGAGAGAAAGGTCAGGTTACCTACAAAGGGAAGCCCATCAGACTAACAGCAGATCTCTCTGCAGAAACCCTACAAGCCAGAACAGAGTGAGGGCCAATATTCAACATTCTTAAAGAAAAGAATTTTCAACCCAGAATTTCATATCCAGCCAAACTAACCTTCATAAGTGAAGGAGAAATAAAATCCTTTACAGAGAAGCAAATGTTGAGGGATTCTGTCACCACCAGGCCTACCTTACAAGAGCTCCTGAAGGAAGCACTAAATAGAGAAAGGAAAAACTGGTACCATCCACAGCAAAAACATACCAAAATATAAAGACCAATGACACCATGAAGAAACTGCATAAATTAATGTGCAAAATAACCAGCTAGCATCATGATGACAGGATCAAATTCACACATAATAATATTAACCTTAAATGTAAATGGGCTAAATGCCTCAATTAAAAGGCACAGACTGGCAAATTGGATAAAGATTAAAGACCCATTGGTGTGCTGTATTCAGGAGACCCATCTCATGTGCAAAGACACACATAGGTTCAAAATAAAGGAATGGAGGAATATTTACCAAGCAAATGGAAAGCAAAAAAAAAAAAAAAAAAAAAAAAGCAGGAGTTGCAATCCTAGTCTCTGATAAAAAAGACTTTACACCAACAAAGATCAAAAAAGACAAAGAAGGGTATCACATAATGGTAAAGGGATCAATGCAACAAGAAGAGCTAACTATCCTAAATATATATGCACCCAATACAGGAGCACCCGGATTCATAAAATAAGTTCTTAGAGATCTACAAAGAGACTTAGACACTCACACAATAATACTGGGAGACCTTAACACCCCACTGTCAATATTAGACAGATCAACAAGACAGGAAGTTAACAAGGATATTCAGGACTTGAACTTAGCTCTGTACCAAGCAGACATAATAGACATCTACAGAACTCTCCACCCCAAATCAAGAATATATATTCTTCTAAGCACCACATAGCATATATTCTAAAATCAACCACATAATTGGAAGTAATATACTCCTTAGCAAATGCAAATGAATGGAAATCATAACAAACGGTCCCTCAGACCACAGTGCAATTAAATTAGGACTCAGGATTAAGTAACTCACTTAAAACCCACACAACAATATGGAAATTGACAACCTGCTCCTTAATAATACTGGGAAAATAACAAAATTAAGGCAGAAATAAAATAGTTCTTTGAAACCAATGAGAACAAAGAGACAATGTACCAGAATATCTGGGACACAGCTACAGCAGTGTTAAGAGGGAAATTTATAGCACTAAATGCTCACAACAGAAAGCTGGAAAGATCTAAAATTGACACCCTAACTTCACAATTAAGAGAACTATAGAAGCAAGAGCAAACAAATTCAAAAGCTAGCAGAAGACAAATAACTAAGATTAGAGCAAAACTGAAGGAGGTAGAGATATGAAAAACCCTTCAAAAAATCAATGAATGCCAGAGCTGGTTTTTTGAAAAGATCAACAAAATAGATGAACCACTAGCTAGACTAGTAAAGAAGAAAAGAGAGAAGAATCAAATAGACACAATAAAAATGATAAAGGGATATCACCAGTGATCCCTAAGAAATACAAACTACCATCAGAGAATACTGCAAACACCTTTACACAAATAAACTAGAAAATCTAGAAGAAATGGATAAATTCCTGGACACATACACCCTCCCAAGACTCAATCAGAACGAAGTTGAATCCCTGAATAGACCAATAACAAGTTCTGAAATTCAGGCAGTAATTAATATCCTACCAATCAAAAAAAGCCCAGGACCAGATGGATTGACAGCCACCTTCTATCAGAGGTACAAAGAGGAGCTGGTACCATTCCTTCTGAAACTATTCCAAACAATAGAAAAAGAGGGACTCCTCCATAACTCATTTTATGAGGCCAGTATCATCCTGATACCAAAAGCTTGCAGAGATACAACAGAAAAAGAAAATTTCAGGCCAGTATCCCTGATGAACATCCATGAAAAATCCTCAATAAAATGCTGGCAAATCAAATCCAGCAGCACATCAAAAAGGTTATCCACCATGATCAAGTCAGCTCATCCCTGGGATGGAAGGCTGGTTC